ATCGTGCGTCCAGAACGACACCAGAGTACACCGACGTAGGCGGACTATCCATCGAGGTCTTTCCGTTCGCTGGGACTCAAAAATGCTTGGGCCGAATGTTCACATTTTCTGACTCAACGGAGGTCGAAGTGGAGGCGCGCATCAAGGCAGTTTGGAAGAAGTTCGGGATATTCAAATCGGAGCTAACGTCCAGAACATATTTTCTCCACGACCGGCTACGTCTGTTCAGCGGAACCGTGACCCCGACTTTTCTGCATGGGTCAGCGCGTGGATATCGCACAAAGCCTTGAACAGCGAGTACGCAGCACGCAGAGAAAAATGCTTCGTATGATTTTTCGAGTGCCCAGGCGTCGCTTTTGTACGGACAGCAGCCCGGGGAACTGTACGTCCGAAGATACACACGTTCATGAATCCAGCACTAGTGAAGACCAAAGTGACAGATCTTCCTCCAGCTCGACGAGCGGCGATACAAATTCAATTACTTCGTCGGGATCCAGTAGCGGTTCTGGTGGGCCCGAACCCTGGCATGAATCGATACAGCGAGCTACACGTTACGATATGCAACATATGGAAACGAATGGATATGACGAGTGGGAAGTCATGCAACGACGCTACAAGTGGGATCTGGCACAACACCCTGTTACGACAGACCGGCACAAATGGAGCAATGCAGCATTGCACTGGGATCCGAGTTTGCTGGCTCAGCCTGCGAGAAGATCAACGGGAAGACCGAAGCGGAGGTGGGCCGACGACCTCACGACGGCAGTGCAGACGCACAGTTCTGTAGGAGGTACTTGGATGTCCGTTGCAGGAGACGCACAAGAGTGGGAACGAGTTGGACATATATATATATATATATATATATATATATATACATATCTGGAGGTTAAGTGAACGGCGCCCCGGCGCCAACTCCCGGCCCCGCGCGCGGCCGCCCTTTTCGGGCGCATCGGGAGCTGCCTGCCTGCCTGCCTGCCCTCTACCCGAATACCCATGGGGGATGTTCGAATATGGTCGATGGTCTTCGGGGCTCTGCTCCCCCCATACAAAAGGTCCAGTGACTATCGACGGTATTCGAGGATATTCGATATTGTTGTTGCATAGTTTGGCGGCGAGAGAGTGGGGAACGTGAGAGAAGGCGGGCCTTCTCAGAAGGCTGGGACGCCTCCGGCCTTCCGAGCAGTTGTCTAAGCCTTCCCCGAAGGCGCGATGGCTTCTCAGAGGTCCCGCCGCCTTCTGGGAAGGCCTTCTCCTTCTCCTTCCCCACCTCGCTCGCCGCCGAGCATTGTTTTTACTCCTCAAATGATCGTCGGTGGTCGGAGGTCTTCGAATCCCTTCGATACTCTTTGAGGACCTCCGAGGACGATAGCCTGGAACAGCATCGAACACTGAGGAATAGTTCGAAAACCGTCGAATATGTTGGAGGAGGTGGAGGAGGAGGATGGTCCCGTGAACCGTCGAATGCCTTCGATGCCCTTTGAACGTCGTCGGAGATGGTGAATTAGTTCGTTGAGGAGGGAAAACAAACCCGAATGCAATCGAAGATCGTCGAAGACCGTCGACGACCTTCGAACATCGTCGAGAACATTCGAAGGTATTTGAGAGCACGGTCGGATCGCGTCGTCGGCGGCGACCCTTCCGCCGGCGTTCAACGTTGAACGCCGCTTGTGACCCAGAGCCGGCCGATGTTGAACGATCTGACGTTTCGGAAAAGGCCGATCGTTCAAGGTCGAACGATCCCCGCGGTGCCAGGGACCAATCGGCGGCGAGCGAGGGGTTGGGGACGTGAGAGTGAGAAGGCCCTTTCAGAAGGCGGCGGGGCATCTCAGAAGCCTCCCGGCCTTCTGAGAGGCTCTCTGAGTCTTCGGGGAAGGCTTGGTAATTTCTCAGAAGGCCGGGTCTGAGAGGTTTCTGAGTCTTCGGGGGAGGCTCGGAGAGCTGGTCAGAAGGCCGGGGGGCTTCGCGCTTTCTGAGGAGGCCCACCCCTTCTCGCTTCCCCCACCCTGGCTTGCCGCCGAGTTGTTCCATCCCCCAGCACTGGCTGGGAGGAGGGATACCGAGGGCATCGGGGCGATCGCTCGACAGTGCCCGCAGCTCGAAAAGGGAGGGGGACTTCCCCCCCGGGCTGGCCGCCGAACCGCTGAACCTCCTGCCGTTCCGAACGTCCTGTACTTCTTGCCGTACTGTACCACTGTTCGGGGTCGACACGGCGCGAACCCGCTGGGCCGCTGCTGGTGGTCGTGAACCGAGCCTGCACCAGTCCCCAGGAGGGTCCCGTATCTAGGGGCTTGGGGAGTCAAGGTCGCTCACGGGGTTTTGGTGCTGTGTGCGGTGTTAGCTTCCCTCGTCTGTGGTGCGGGGCCCAGTTCGGCCTTTGGTGAATCTAAACTTTCCTAAACGTTCCTCCTCCTCCTCCTCCTCCTCCTCCTCCTCCTCCTCCTCTGTCCTCCTCCTCCTCCCTCCTCCCTCCTCCCTCCTCGCTCCCTCCTCCCTCCCTCCTCCCTCCTTCCACCACCTTCCCTCCTCTCCCTTCGTCCTTCTGCTGCCTCCGCCCCGGCGCGGCGGCGGCGCCCCGCGGTGCCGGCGGCCGACGCGTCGTTCGACGGTTTCTTCGCACGTGTTCGGCCGTCGTTCGACGAGGCCGTCGGTCAGAGCGCCGAATCATTAGGGGTAACTCGGGCCAGGGCTAACTCGGGTTCGTTTTTCGGGAATCCGAGCCCGAGTTACCCCGGACCCGAGTTACCCCGGATAATTCGGGAGTCCAGAGCCCCACATCATCAGGGGTAACTCGGGTCAGGGCTAACTCGGGGTGCTTTTTCGGGAATCCGAGCCCGAGTTACCCCGGACCCGAGTTACCCCGGATAACTCGGGCGCCCAAGTCGGTGGTTCTCCGATGGTTAATCTAGGCCTCCCATCAGAGGAGGGAAAGGTACCCATACCTATACCCTTCGCTCGTTCCCTCCTTGTTCGGCCTCCTGGGAGGCCACCGCCACAGCCGTCGGATGCGCCTCGAGATCCTGGTCAGACCGCTCCCCAGGGAAGGTTTGGGGAGTAGCGGTATCGGTACCTCTTGGTTTCCCCATCCCAGATGGGCGATGCATCGCCGATGCATCGCCAATGCATCCCCGATGCATCGGCGATGCATTGGCGATGCGGCGCGATCTCTCGACCCCATCTACTCAGAGCTTCTGACACGAATAATTACCACCATGAATTCGTGGCCCAACTCAGGCCCTACAAATCACGGCGACGAGTACGTACCTCCAAATCGGGTTGAACAACCGCGGCGTGTTCTCGGGCCATGTGCAGCGCAGGTCCGATCGCGCGCGGAGGGCGCACGCGCTCCACGAGTGGAGACGGCGATGGAAAACATGCAACAAGACACCCCCCTTCTGAGGCATGAAAACTGCAGGCAGGCTATTGCGAGGTCATGAAGTAATGAATCCGTGAATGAACTGCCCCAGACGCGGTGTCGGGGGGTCTTGGACTGCGGATTGGACCAGGCACCCCGCCAGATTTCCGGGGGCGAGGGGGGGCGGGGAGCCCCGGCGAAGGCGGCGGAGGCCTCTTCGAAGGCAGGGGCCTTCTCGGGAGGGCCCAGAGGTTTCCAAGCCTCTCAGGAGCAGCTGGGCGCTCCTCCTATGGCCCCCGCCTTCTGGGGGCCGCCCTTCTCGCCCCGCCCCCTCGTGCGCGCCGTCAAGGCACAAGGACAGCGGGTCAGGATGAAGATGGATCGATGCTGAGCGATCCGAAACCCTCTCGGAGCGTTCTGGAACGGCCGCGGCGCCCGCTGCATCTTGCCCACCAGTTCTCGGGCGCTCCCGACGCATCTTCACACGCATTGGTGGGCATCCCGTGTCTCTTTAATCGGGGAAGCGTAAGACTCGAGTGAGCCGGAGCTCGGGTTTTTTTGACAAGCGTGTGCCGAAGTTTTTTGGCAAGCGCGTCCTGGATTCTGACGGTCCAGTTTCCGTGGGATGTCTGCAGCGGGAGTTCGCGTCAAGGCTCAGATCGGGTCTCGTCATCTTCACGATGGCTCCGTCAGGCCAGCCCGAGCCCCCCGTACCCGAGTCTCACGTCTCCCCGATCTTAGTTGGTCGGATGGGTTTGTGATCGTTTTTTTTATTTATTGTTTTGCCGATCGGCGCGGGCCCTCGCACCCCCCTCCCCCCCTGGAGTAGATCTTGGCTGTTTTGGGCGCCTGCCTCGAGCAGGTGGAGCCTCCCCCACAGGACGCACTGCTGCAAACAGTCGCACCAAGCAGAGGTCCAGAGCCAGACCCCCCCCTCCCCCTGGTAGGTTTCTCCGAAGGGCTTAGGCGACCCGTCCTCCTCCTCCTCCTCCTCCTCCTCCTCCTCCTCCTCCTCCTCCTCCTCCTCCTCCTCCTCCTCCTCCTCCTCCTCCCCATGGTGGGGGGGCGCCACGGGCGCCCCCCCCACCTCAAGAGACGTCCCAAGAGACGTCCTCCTCCTCCCCATCCACCTCCTCCTCCTCCTCCTCCTCTCCATCCACCTCCTCTTCATCCTCCTCCACCTCCTCCTCCTCGGGTCGCCTACGGCCCCGGGGGAAGCCGTGCACCTCCCCCCCCCTTCCGCCCAACGCCGAAACGCCGAATGACAAAAAAACGCCCCCTTTCCCTGGGGCCGACTCCGAGAGACGGCGCACGGGCCGACCCTCGGCCTTCACCGGCAGGCCCACGCCCGAGCTCCCGTCGCAGCGTGCGCCGCCGGACGCGGCGACGGGCGACGCGGCGACGGGCCGACGCGGCGCCGTCAACCGGCCACGTCACCTGTCTGGTCAGGGCTGTCCGTGCGCAGAGCTGAGTCTGGCCTGTCCCCTCCACAGGGGGAAGGTTCAAGACATAGTCCTAGCATAGTCTGGGGACGATTAGTTTCACCTAGTTTTGGCTATTCTCGATTTCTGGTTGGACTATCTGTTTTATTTGTCGTCCACAATCCCCCCTGTAGGAGGGCATGCCCGACCTAAGCGTAGAGGGGCTGATGGCGCTCACAGGCCCCAAGGCCACCTGAACCGAATCGAACACTTGCATAGTTAGACGAAGATTTTGCCGTAACGCTGCAGGTTGGGTTCGGGCCCGGTCAGCAGTTCTGGACGTGCATATCTCCTCAAATTGTGCATCGCGCCGGACCAGGGAGCAGCAGTGCATGGAGACTGTGGGGGAGATGAGCCAAAGGTGGTTTTACAGAGCGAGCCTTGCTTGAGGCTGATGCTCTCTCTGTCTTGGAGCCGGCGCGGGGTCATCCTCTGCGCGCTCGTCGGTTGCGCCCACGTATGGGCCATGGAGGATTCGGGGCAGTTCATCCCAAGGCGGGGTTAGAGGGCGAGCCAAGTGTGAGTCGAATGCTCTCTCTCTCTCTGTGAGCCGGCCCAGGCGAGGTTCCTGCAACGCCATCTCGGGCCCTGCTGATTTCGGCCGGGCCAATGCTGGGCCCGGGAGCGGTGCATGCCGTATACGCGCTCCAGGCCTGGCCAGGGAGGCGTCGACACCCGATCTGTGGGGCCCACGGTGCAGGGAGGGGCAGATGGGTGCCCAGCGAAAGCTTGCCCACGGCGCGAAATCCGTTGGAGAAGGGAGGCTGCATCCCCGTAGTGCTACAGGTCCACGCGGAGGCTGTTCGAGTGGGCCTTGGGCTCTGCCCTGCGGTGCCTCCGGCGCTGCCCCATGCGCGATCCTTTGCGCCTCAGGGGAGGTTGGCAAGGTGTTGATCTAAGAAATCTGCGCTGACCTCCGATTCTTCGATTCTACAGATGGTGTCGACAGCCTCCAGAGACTGAGATTGGGGACCTCCCAAAGTTGAGCGGTTCGCGCGACGGCATAAACCAGGGCCCACGTCATCAATACCAGGAGCTTGCGGAGTGGTAAGCGATTCGTCTTGTACGTTGCGGGGTATCACTGCAGGTATCCAGTGCGGGCTGGACGCAGACTCGATGCGGGCAGCTGTGCGGCGGGACAGGCAAGGTGGCGGGGAATATGCGTCACAGTTCGCCCGCGTCCACGTCGCAGCTCCGCCGCGGGCCTTATGGTGCCCAAACGGGCCGCAGTGCCCTTCCACTTCCCAGCTGGCCATCGATTGGCCGACAAAGCCCCCGAAGCTCTTGAAGCGTCAGACGTCCCGGAAGCTCCTGGAATGACTGCTCTCGTGAAGCTCATGAAGTTCCTGAATGTAATGAAGCCCCCGACGCTCTTGAATCTCCTGGAGCTCCTGAAGCTTCTTGAGCTCCTGAAGCTCCTGAAGCTCCGGATTGTTGGAAGCGTCAGAATCATCGCGAAGTTCTTGGGCCCAGAGCGTCAGAAACGTCAGAAGCGTCGGAGGGTTGGCGGCACCGCGCATTATCAAAGGAAAACATGCAGGAGTGGAAAAAAAAAACAGACGCAATTACTCGTCGATTCCCCCGAAAACATGGGAAGTGGCGGGGAAGACAAAAAACCCGAAAATATAGGAAAGTATTGGGAATCCTGTTATTTATGTCTATTTATTTGTGTGTCCCAGGGGCCCTGCAAACATGTGTTGGTCCCAGTGTCGGTTGGGCCCCCTGGCGGCGCCTCTGGCGCGCCAGGGAGGGGCTCTGGCTCCGAGCTACTGCATCGACGCGGACCTCAGAATTGTCATCTCTGTGCCACCGCCACCTTTCGTGCGCTTAACATCATCAGTGTTCGCATCTATATATAGATCTATTATATATATATATATATATATATATACATATATCGTCGCCCCTGGCTCGTGACCTCCAGTGCTGAAGCAAGCGTCGGCGCATCGTTCCGCCTTTGCTATCTCCTCTCCCCCCTTCCTGCGTTCCATCTCCTGATCCGACCTTACATCCTTCTGCTCCCTCTCCTCGGGGACTTGCTGATTTGGATCCTAGGCATCCGACGATGTGTGTTTTCGACACGTGGCCCGAGTGGTCCCGACCGCTCCCTGGAGGTTGTCTTCCGTCCTGGATCACTGCTTCATGGCCCAGAGCTTTCTACGGGGCCTCAGGGGCTGAAAAGTCGAACACACTCCTTGGGATTGAACGTCGTATCGTCCGAGGGTCCAGCCCGAAAAAGCACCCGTAGCCGCCCGCGCGCCCTGCAGACCGTGACCATCGTGGAGCTGGTGGGGCGACGGGCCCGCATCATCGCGCCGGTGGAGGCCGCCGGCGATAGCCCGCCCTCTGGGTCCAAGCGTTGCTAGAAGTGTCCCTGGCCCAGGGTGCCACCTCCTCCGCCTCCTCCTCCTCCTTCTTTCCTCCGCCTCCTCCTCCTCCTCCTCTTCTTCCTCCTCTCCCTCCTCCTTCTCCTCCTCCTCCTCCTCCTCCTACTCCTGCGCCTCCTCCTCCTCGTTCGGGTGCTGCCAGAAGTGCCCCTGGCCCCAGGCGCCCCCAGGACTTCCAAGGAGGCCGCCACGGCCTCCAGAGCACCCCTCACAAGGCCCAGGGGGCCCCAGGGGCTCCAAGATGGAGCGAGGAGCTGGGGGCACTTTCAACGTATGCAGAACCTAGTCTCGGGACGATGTTTTGAACTATGTTTGAGCATCTGGGGCGCATTCGTTGACCAGGCCTTATTTGTCGTCCAAAATCCCCCTGTGTGGGGGGCATGCCCGACCCAAGGGCAGGGGAAGGGAGGCGCCACCCGGGTGAGCGGCAAGCTTGCGCGGGCGCGCGGGCCAGGGGTGCCGCTGCGCAGCGCCCGCCCGCAGGCGCCGTGTTTTGGTGCACCGTGCCGCGGCCGCCCCTCGGAGCGTCGGCCGACCCCCCCCCCTCCCGCCACGCAGGGCATCGGCCGACGGAGGGGAGGCAGGTTGTCTTTTGAATGCCAAGACGTTTTGAGGGTCGGGGGCGACGTCGGGGTGGTGTGGTGTGTACTCTTTTCCCCCGTTTCCCAAGGGAAACAGCGAATAATGTATGCACCAGGATCCCCTATACACCAGGATCCGCGTTCCTGTGCGAATTTCGGCGCAGGGTCGGAAACAACGTCGGTGTATAGAGTTCGTTGCCCTAGAGGAGGAGGGACGGGGAGCAAGTCTGGGGAGGAGGGCGATTGAGCAGTGGCGAGGCGTCCTGGCTTTCCCATGGGCCCACCAAAGAATGTTCTTCTGAAAACCTTTTGTGGTCGGCGCGAAGTGTCCTCAGAACGTGTCTGGCTGGGACCGTCTTGCTTGTTAAACACATCGGGCTGATGGTCTAAGAAAATTGTCTTTGTTCTTAGAACATTTCTGGGTTCTAAGAACATTTCATGGTAGGACATCGGCCGAAGGAGAGGAGGAAGAGGAGGAGGGACGGGGAGAAGGGATGGGGAGGGGTAGGGTGCCACATGCGACTCTACCCATACCCCCCACGATTTCTGAGGGGACGGTGGGGTTCACTTCGCTCGGGAACTCCCGAACGAGGTGAACCCCACCCTCCCCCTCAGAAATCGTGGGGGGCGGGGGTAGGGTTCGCATGTGGCCCCCTGAGGGGAGCGAGGAGGGAAGACGAGGATCGGTGATCCATGAAACCCAGAGCTCGATCGTCCCTCCCGCCTCCCCCATCGATATCCCGTCCTCTGTTCCTCCCCTATCCCTCTCTCCTGGATCCTCGATGAGCCTCATCCCTCCGTCCCTCCCTCGATCCTCACTCCGGGCCTCGCCCTGGACTCGCGGCCATATCTGGTTCGATTGGACCGATCTGGGGAATGATCGACCACAAATGTCGGACGATGTGAGTGGTTCAATTTCGGCGTTTTCCTTCGATGTCTGCTTCGGCGGCCAGGCGTCGGGCTTTGGGGTCGCCAGACATGGATGCGCTGAGACCTGCTGAGCATCGTCGGATGTCTGGGATTGTGGCGACGTCTCATCTCAAGGGTGGCAGTGCCCCGCAGTAGGTGGAGGACGGATTCTGCCCCAGGCGGCCCTGGGGAAAGAGTCGGAACTTCCGGGGACCCCGCAGTGACAGAATGGAGACATCGCAGGTCTGGGTTTCTCGGCCTAGGGACCGTAAACAGAACGACCCAGGATGAAAAGCCAGTCCCAGCCAGGGGTCATGATGTTCCAACCTCCTTTAGCTTTGAAAAACCAGAAAGAATTTCGAGAACCAGGAAAGTACCGAAACTCGAGGGTGTTCACGTGTCGGAGCCTGGCAGACACTCGTCCGACATTGTTTCGACACTTTTCCGGATGCTCGAAATTATTTCTGGGACGTGGTCCTTAAAAGCACGATGGGAACGGCACAAGCCGCGGGATCGAAGGATCGAAATCTTTGGGCCTTTCCCGTCGCGAGGAAGCTGGGACGTCGGAGGAAAGGTTAGGGGGAGGGGAGATGGGGAGGCGTCCCCCGTGCTCCTGCAAAGCTCGGTCCTGTTCGACGGCGCGGCGTCCCGCACGATCTTCGGAGGCTTCGCATGAATTCCTGCACTGGCCCCGACGTTGTGCCGCCAAGCTGGCGACGCCACTGGCTTTACATGCCCGTGTAATTGTGCATCGTGTTTCGTGACCTAGTCCATGCAGGATTGACTTGCTTTGTTCCCCCTTACAACGCAAGTCCCCATCAATCAATCGCTGGCAACTGCCGAGGCATACATATTTCCAGATCGGGTATGCATCAGAGAGGATACCATCCAGCATGATGTCACCGTTGTTTGAAGCTGCGACGCGAGCTTACGGCTGCCACCAGTTGGAATACAATTGTGGCCGTTGTTATCGCCAAGCCCTTGCGTACGTTGTTTGACATCTAGTTTGGACTGTCAGCAATGGGCGTTTGATGGTTGTCTACTGCTATGACGCATCCTGGGCCACCGACAAAGTGCGAGCTGCGAGAGTCGTTTCACGATTGCAGGTAGCAGGCGTATCCGAGAAGCTTGTGGACGTCATAGCCTACTGGCTGGAGCCCCGCACACCAAACGTATGCGTTCATGGCGTATTCTCGGACCCCTTCGTGCATGGACATAGTGTTTCAGGGCACGGTCCTCGGTCCGCCTTTTCTGGAATGTATTTCATGTGGATGCCATACATTCGATCACGCGCACTTGATTGGAGGAGCGCGCATTCGCTGATAATTTCACCCGCTGGCGGATTCGCAATTGGACGGCACGTACTTCGGACATTCGTCAGTCGTGCCACACGTGTCAATCATCAATTCGCTGTTGGGGCGCAGCGTAGCCAGTGGTGTTTGAGCCCGGGGCGAGGCCTGCACATCTTAGAACAGCCCGCCCGCAAAGCAATAATTTCAAGGTGCTGAAGGTCGTTGTTGATCCAACGTTGCTTTTGTGTCACGATGCCCTACATTTCGCCACAGAGGCATCCAGGACGTTGAAGGCGTTGTTCCAGACAGGCCACTGTCGCACTATCATGGAGTTGTCGCCGACGCAAGTGCCACGCATTGTCTTTTATCGAGGTGGGCACGAGCGAGATGTTCCTCTCAATACGTACGGTGTTCAAAACGGCTGACGAAGGTCCTAACACAAATTGCTCGATCATGTGTCGAGTACATGGGCACTTTGGAGTAGGAATCGTGGCATCTCGAGTTTAGGCATTTTTATGTGGAGTTCCTGCGCCATTGCTCCTTCTGCTTTCTCCTCCCGTACTTCCCCGGTCGCCGGGCATCTCGAACGGCACTGCTTCACAACAGTCCGACGCCGCCGCAGGGCTCTAAAAGGTTCCTGTCGAGCCTTGCCATCACCACGTGTTGCGGCGATCGGATTTTGGCATGGCTCGCGTTTGCGGGTAGATTTTGTGTATACTGGAGAACAAGACCACCAATTCCTTTTCAAACATATTCCAATGACGAATCAAAGTGACGCCAGCGCGTGGCCATGTATGTATTCGGCGCGCAACCGCATTTGTTGACATGTGTACTGGGGCTCGTTTTGGATAGCACGCTCGTAGCAACAAGAGGGGTTGGCGTCGTGACCTATGGACGCAACTCCGGCAAGCTCGCCCGGGTGGCGCGCAGGGGCCGTTCTTTTTGATTGCCACACGCTTGCCCCAAAAAAGCAACAGACTCACAGTTCAAGCCTTGCCCGCCGAAGTGCCCCGATTCGGGAAGCACCGGCGCCGACACATCAAAAATCAGGAGGGGGAAAAACACACAGACACAATTACTCGTCGATTCCCAGGAAAATATGGGAAAATATGGGAAGTGGGTTGGAAGACAAAAAGCCAGAAAATATGAGAAAATATGGGGAACATTTATATTTGTGTGTATTTATTTGTGTGTCCTGGGGCCCCTTCAAAAAAAACCAATTCGCAGAAACATGCACTGTCGGCGGTCCGAGAGCACAGTATGCGGATCAGCACCGCCGGGGGGGGCGCGGCCTGTGCCTCCCCGTTTTACAGGAGCGCTGGTTCCCCAGCCAGTGTTTGCACTGAAGGGGCCCTGGCGGGAGCTGAAAGATTTGGCGACAGTTTTCCGCCGATTTCGGTCGCAGGCGGGGTTCCAATGTTCTCGGGTTCCCGGCTCCGGGCTCCCGGGTTCTATTGCCCATGTTTCTGGGTTTTTTGTTGAGCGGTTCTTGGGCTCCCGGGTTCCCAGGTCGATCTCTTCAGCGAAAACCATCCCCTGATTGGGTTTCTTCTCTGGTGTAATGTTCTTGTTCGGTTGAAGGTAGGGAACGACATGCGTTTCCACACGTGACGTCGGTCGGGGACGGCTTCTCATCCTGGGTTGTTTGATGGCCCTGGGCTGGGGAAGCGGCGTTCCAAAGGTCGACCCGTGCTGCCTGGCGGCGGTGCCGCCACCGTGCCAGACCGGCATTTTTGGTGGCAGTTACTTGAGAAGGCAATTGGGCCTGCTGGGGGCCTCATGGGACAAACGCCTCGAAGTCGGGGTTCGCGTCGCCACTCCTAACTAGGGCTGGGCCCTCCTGGGCATTATTGGGTGTGTCTTGGGCCGTTTTGGAACCCCTTTCAGACAGGTGCGAAAGTTTTTTTAAATTGGGCACGCGCTATTTTTCAGCGAACCGCATCACTTGGCGAGGCGGTCTCCCTGGCGGCGATCCAGGTCCCTTATCCTGGACGGCAGCTCGCGGCACAGGCCGTCGACGTCACAGGCGCTATTAATTTGCGCCGCGCAGGCCTTCAGCCGGGCGCGGTACGCTTCCAGGGTCTCCTCCCAGCACCGCTTCGGGAGCGTTTTCGTGAGCCTGTCCCGCATCCACGACACAGCGGTCTCGTGGAGCATGACCTCCTGGAGCTGGCCAGGCTGTACAGAAGCGTCCGCGGGAAAAAATGCCTTCAGGTCGTTGCGTCTCAACGCCCCGCGGCACTCCTCGGCGATTGCCCCTGCGCTGGCGTTGTAGAAGCCTTTCCCACGGTCCGCGAAGAGCACGCGAGGCAGCAGGCCGCCCCTGGGAAAACGTACATTCTGAGCAACCCGCACGTGCCCTCGGCAGATGTCGATCGGGAAAAAGAGCGCAACATGAAAACATCGAACAGGTGCGACAGCGCGCGGGCAGCAGAAACCCTTTGAATTCACAATGTTCCGTCACGCTTGCAACGTCGGAGCCATAGTAGAACCGTCGTGGAACCAAGCAGGGACTTTTTGAATTCACAAGGTTCCGTCACGGTTGCACCGTCGGAACCATCGTGGAAGCAAGCATGAATCCTGTGAATTTATTGGATTTCGTCACACTTGCTGCGTCGGAGCGATCGTGGAACCAAACCAAGCAGGAACCTTGTGAATTAGTAAGGGTTCGTCACACTTGCGACGTCGGAACCATCGTGCAACCATCGCGAAACCAAGCAGGAAGCGTTTGAACTCGTAGGGTTTCGTCGCACTTGCGACGTCGGAACCATCGTAGAATCAAGCAGGGAGCGTTTGAATTCATAGGGTTCAAGCAGGAACCTTGGGAATTCATAAGGTTTCCGACATGTGAACCTTTCGGAGCCATCGTGGAACCAAGCTGGAACCGCCGCGGTCGGGCGCCGGACCTTATAACACGACGCGGATCGGCGATCGCGGGCTCGCCGCCCCCCATTCCTATTATAATAGTAATTACAGGTGGTGCACGGCGCATCTACTCCCTTGTGCCCTGGAGTTGAGGGGCACCTTTAATTCGTATTATAAGAGGGCCGCTGGGCCCCAAGCCCCCCTCCCCCCGCTCCGCGCCTGGATCCCTCGTCTACCTTCCGTGCCCGCTCCTCCCCAGGGGTCAATGTTTAGGTATCAATTCGCTCCTGTCTGTTCGGTCCCGTCTTGGGGGGCCACTGCGCCGTCTTTAGGAGCAGTCCTGGTGGCCTCTTGGGTCCTCCCTCTTGGGACATCGAAAGTTCGAGAAGGCGACAACCCGAAACTGATGGATCAACCCAGGCGAAATCATTGGGTTTTGCTCCTCAAGCCATCTCGGAAGGTTCTTTGGACCCACTTGAAACTCGACGGCTTCGCGGGCCGTCTTGACGCCATCTTGGGCCATCTTGGAGAGCTTTGCGGCCATCTTGCCGCGGCTCTGGTGGATTACGTGGGCCGTCTCGGAAGCAACATTGGGCATCATGGGCGCTTTGGAGGGCGCCAGGGAGGCGTGAGGCAACCCAGGGACGGCCGGGGAGTGGCACAAAACCTTTCGGAAGTTCGGAGACTTGCACCTGCCCAACGTCGTCATATGACCTGCTCGTGGCCGCTCAGCGGCCGTCCTCGGCGCAGGCAGCCAGCCGTCGCGTTCAGTGCGTCATGCTGGCCGGGGTCTCGCGCCCCCGCGCTGCCAGTGCACGGCGGTCTGGCCACTCAGGGGTCAGGACGGTTTGGGCCGCTCAGTGGCCGTTCTCGGTGAGATTGCCAGCAGTCGCGTTCAGCGTGTCATTGCTGGTCTTGGGTGGCACGCCCCCGCGCAGCCAGTGTGCGATCGACAGGTCATTCAGGGGCCTAAAAATTTGGGCCGCTCAGTGGCCTCATCTGCCGCAGGGAACCATCGGCACATCAAGTGCGTTCGTTGGTCGGGGAGTCACGCCCGCGCTGCCAGTGGATCTACATACCATGTTCGCCTGTCTACCGTTTGTCGAGCGCCTGCAGGCATGGTCGTCAATGCCATGGTGAGACGAGTCCGGGGGGAGCGATGTTGCTGCCCACCCACCCGCCCAAGATCTTCAGTTTTATCTCCCGGGTGCGCCCTTCACGTCGGACTCGCATTTTTGAGGCGCTGCCAGCACGGAGTGTTTGGGGGATTCGCAGGGGGTGTAAGTTCTACCGGCCCCGTCCTTTGTGAGGTCTGAGATTTCAGGTTGCCCCCTTCGATGCTAGGGGACCGAGATAGCATCATACAGTTGAGGGAAGGGCAGATAGGGGGCGGTGCGCGCAGGTGGGCATTTCGAGAGAGGGTGGCGGCTCGTAGAAGCATCCACACATATCCAACCAGGCAGACCTTTGCATCCTTCCACGCCCCAGCGTGCACAAGACACGGTGGCGGAATGCTGTCACACTTGTTTTTTTGCGTCGCCCAGATTTTGGGGCGCCTCCTTGTGGATGGTGAGGCGATCGATGCTCCTCGGGCCCCCCTCCTCGTTTCTATTCGCGGCCCCAGAGGTCCCGACCTCTCGCCTGGGATTGATGTCCGATGGTCTCGGGGCGCGACGATAGCGCGACCCAGAGGCCGGCACATGGGACCATTGATTCGATTGGCCGCCCAGGGACACACCCATTATCTTTTTACACACATGGCGACTGAATCAGGACCGTTGGGTTCCAAATGGCCGCATGGGCATTTACCCAATTATTCCCAACACTTCGCCCAATAACGCCAGGCCTCGAGCAATGTCCTCCCTTCACGCAACGGGAAGCGGGCAGATGACGATGAACGAGCCGTTGGGCAGGAGGGTGGAGGCACAGGACGGACGAGGTCGTTTTTCGGGGGGGGGGGGGGGGGGGGGGCGAAGAGCGCGACAGATTCGCAGATCGAAGCCCCCCTCCCTGGGACGGCGAGGTCCAGCCTGAGTCTTCGTAAAACACCATGGCGTTGGCCCTCCCAGGGCCCCACAAACATGGTGACACCCTCGCAGGTCGCAGCCCTCCAGAGGCGGCGTGGTCTAGTCATGGTCCTCGCAAGGCGCCACTGCGCTGGCCCCTCCAAGAGTCCACGACAATTGCGACAGCTTGGCAGACCGCAGCCACCCAGGGACGGGGAGGTCTGGCGTGTGCCTGCGTGGAATACGACTGCGCTGGCCACCCGGGGAGCCCACGAACATGGCGACAGTCTCGCAGATCGCAGCCCGCCCAGGGACGGCGGGGTCCAGCCTGGCTCCGCGCAGCGTCGCGATTTGAACCCCCCCCCCGCCAGGAACCCACAAACGTGGCGCACGCTTCGCAACCCCAGGGGCGGCGAAACCCAATCTGGGCCCGCATGACGCATCATTGCGCGGGCCCTCCGAGGAGCCCACGACAGTGGCGACAATCTCGCAGGCCGCAGCCCGCTCAGGGACAGCCCCGCTTGGGCCCGCGCAAGGCACCGCTGAATGATTGGCCCTCCCAGGAATCCAAATGAGAGTGGCGAGCGTTTCGCAGATAACAGCCCCCCTAGAGACGGCGAGGTCGACAGAGGAGGAGGAGGAAGAGGAGGAGGAGGAGGAGGAGGAGAGTGAGGAAGAGGAAGAGGAGCAGAAGGAGGGATGAGGGAGGAGAGGAGAGAGGATTTGAAGACCACAGCGCTCTACTCTACTCAACACGAAAAACCAATCAAGTGAGGGCTGGGAATGACATCGCCCGGCTGCGCGCGGGAGAAAGAGAAACGCCACCGCGCGTGTGCCGCAGAGTGTTCGTAGCGCTTCGCGTATCCCCGCCAGCGCATACGGGAAGAATGTTCAGGGGAGCTACCCGTTTCCCGGGGGAGCGTGGCATACTCTGGCGAGCTCGGGCGCCTTGTGTGGATCAGAGGCGGCTTAGATGCCTTCGGAGTGACTTGGGATGTCTCCCTGATGCTCTTGGAGACCTCTTGGGTCGCCTTGGGAGGTCTCCTGGCGGGTTTTTGAGGCCTGCTGGTGCGCCTTGGTGGCCTTTTGAACGCCTGGGGGCTGCTTGGGGGTCTTTGAGGGGCCTCTTCGGGCTGACTCGGGGACATTTCGGGGGACATCTTAGGTTGTCTCGGAGCTTCCTTGAAGGCATCTTGGGCCAACTGGGCGGGCGCAAAACACAACCAGTGAAATACTCACAATCCAACAACAAAACCTGGAAACAACGATGGCTGCCTCCTCAGCCTTTCCTGGAAGGCCTCGTGGGCCCTCTTGGGCCGTCCTGAAGGCCCTCTGGGCTGTCTTCAAGCAGTCCTGGGAGCCTATTGAGCGGTCTTGGGCTATCCTTGGCCGTCTTGATGTCATCTAGGCTGTCTTGGAAGCAGTCTAGGAGGCAATCCTGGTCCTCTGGAGACAGAAACACCGGTGTGAAAACAGTTTCATATGGGGTGATCTCAGAACGAGGCGCGCCAGCATGGGAGGGGGATCGGCTCCAAAAAACATTCGGACACCTTCCAGTCAGCAGACGTCCCTTCTAGCGCGCCCGCTCCATGCAGGCACGGCTGCGGATTTCGCCGGGGATCTGGAAACCTTCGTCTGCCCGCGCAGGGCTGGGTCTCCACGGAGACGAAGGACGGGGTGCAGATCATGCGGACCGCCGCTCGCCGCGCCCGCTTTGCGCCCGGCTGCTCCTCAGCGGGCTGCGCTGACGGACGGCGTTGTCGCTGGCGGCGGCGAGAGCGGCGATGACGACGACGACGGAAGGAGGAGGAGCGAACGACCAGGACGATAATGCGTACGATTCCCAAGCCGTCGATTTTTTGACAAGATCTGGACGGCGTTATGGTGGTGACCAAGATGAAGGATTGGCTGGCTTTCGTGAGAGGTTCGGGACTTTTCGAGACCTCGTGCTTTGAAATATTCGGAGGGTCGGATGTATAAAAGAAGCGTGGTGCGTAGACGCGCAGTGATAACAACATCTGGTGCTCGACGCGAGGCAAAGGGGATTTGAAGGCGATCATCCGCGGAGCGACCACCGAGTTTCAGCTTTGCTGCTGGCCGAAACTGTGTCCACCTCCAGAGCTGCACTGGGAGGGGCCTGGTCAGGTCCCACCAGGCCGAGACTCGGGCCCTGGCGACAGCCGCGCCGACGAGTGGGACGCGAAGGTGACGACAAGGCAGATGAGCAAACTGAACCCGCGTCGGAGGAGCTACAAGCAGCGCGGCGGGTTTGGGAGGCGGCACTCTCTGATCCGACGACGTGATCACATGCAGGAGCAACAGCACTGCGGGAACCCTGGACCCGGTTTTTGTATGCAGCATATCTAGAGGCGGATCGCCTCGCACGGATGGGGAGCATTCGACATTCGAGACGGCAAGTTTTCTGACACGTTGGCCACCGGGAAGTCGGTTGCGGGTCTGGGGACCAGCAAAAACGCCGCTTCGGGATGAAAACAGTTCTGGAGAAAGGGGTAGAGAAGGGCCCGGGGCCATGTCTGGAAATAGTCTCGCCTCCAGAGTGTAGAGAGAAGGAGGAGGTGCTTCAAGATGAAGCCTGTGCTATTCTGCAACTGCCAGCATTTGGTTCAAGTAATTGATCCCGCCCCACGGCGGTGCAAGACACACACTCGCGAACTTGCGCTGCCCGCACACAGAAACAATCATAGCCACAGTCTCACTAAAACGGACCAGGGTATGATACCGAGGTCGATTTGGGGAAGATGTCCTAGTGTTTTCCGTTTTTGTTTGATACTATTGTGCATCCTGGGGACGGTAATTTTGGATGTTATTTTGATTCTGGCTGGCGGACTGTCTCACGTTCTTGAAATATGCTCTTCTGGCCTTGCTCTGCCTGTACCTTTCTCCTGTTGAATGCGCTGTGTCGCGGGGCGAGGCTATGGCGACAACGCCGAAGACCGGAATACCTACATCAAAACAGAGTGTGTTGAATAATTGTTGCCGTCTTCGGAGTTAATTGTATGATGGTTAACCAACAGGGCCATTAGGAGTTCGTCAAAGCCGCCTTACCGGCCAATCGCGCCGCAGATTCAATTTATTGAGCGAGCTTGCCCGCGCGGGCAACATAGAAATATCCAGTGAGCATGCGACGCCGATGGCCCATTTTTTTTGGCAATCCAAATACTCACGGGACAGCGCGGGACACCGCGGGCCACCGCCGGACGGGTGGGCGTGGGAAAATCATGTGTCTTGATTTCGCATTAGCAGCACTGGACACCACGGGACACCACGGGACATCGCGGAACATCACGGGACACCGCGGGCCACCGCCGGACGGGCGGGCGGGGGAACATCATTTGTCTTGTCTTCGCCTTAGCAGCGGCGGGTTCATTCCTCCCGCGCGCCCACGCAGCTTCGCCTCGCCCGCACGCACGTCACGAACGAAACGAAACGATTTCCCGTTCGGTGGTCTCCGTTCCGCTGCGATTCCCCCCCCCGTCTCCGATGTGTATATATATATATACACATATGTACATACATACATACATACATACATGCATGCATACACACATACACACATACACACATACAGACATACAGACATACAGACATACAGACATACAGACATACAGACATACAGACATACGTACATACAGACAGACAGACAGACAGACATACATATATGTATTACAATAGTGACACTTGTGCGGAGCTACCCCAACCTGGAGCACCAGGTCGAGAGGGGGTGTCAATTTGGACCCAATGCTCCTTGTGCAGCTGCCGACACTGGGCTCAAGTATTCAAAAACGCCCCACGACCGTGCAAAACACATTCGGGACTTTGTCCTGTCCGCCCATTGCACAGCAGAGTCCGATCTTCATTACCACTGTTCTGTGAAAATTGTAGGAGGGGGGCTGGGCGCGGACCAGGTGGGCTGCGGCGGCGCGGACCAGGCTGGCGGCGAGTGCGCCGTCGTGGTCGCTGGCGCTGGACCACACGCCATCAACATCGGTCCCGGGACCCTTCCATCCTGGCACGTTTTCCGAGCAGCGCCCAGCGATGGCGGAATTCCCGACATCCCCGATCGCCTCCGAAACGAAGATGGTCGGCTTCGGCGACGGCGCCGGCGCCGTCGTCGTGGGTGTTGTTGGCGTCGTCGGGCCGCCGTCGTCATCGTCGCCGTCGTGGCGTCGGGACCAGCATGATCGTCGTCGTGTGGTCGTCCCCGTCGGCACCGTTGACGTCGGCGTCGTCGACGTCGTCATGGTCGGCGACGTCGGCGTCGGCGTGCGCCGTGGCCTGCGCGCGCGCGGCGGCGCCGCGAGGCCCTGCACGATGCAGCGGCGCTCGGCCCAGAACGAGGCCCGCGGTACGGGCCGCCGACGACCGGCGGGCGGGGGCCAATATCGAACTATCAATGATCATACGTTGGAGTGGGGGTTGTTCGGTGTTGTGGTTGGCCCGTCTGGCGAAAAATTGTTCAGGTTCCCCCCTCCCAGGCCGTCAACCATCCCCCGATTCATTTAAACGGTCTGTTGTGCGAGCCGCCAAAGATGAACGGTTGGGTTTGCCCCCCTGGGGGAACAAGTGACAAGGTAGATGTCCTTTCCCCTGGGGGAGTGAGTTTGCCACCCCGGGGGGGTGATTTTGCCCCTCGGGGCTTGATTTTGACATTGACACAATGAACGGTTCATCTTTCCAGGGGGGCGAAATCTACCGTTCTTGTTATGCGGCCGAAGCGTGAATTAGCATGCCTCTAATTTTTGGTTAATTTGTCAGGGGGTGGGAACATGAACCGTTTATTTTTCAAAGGGTTGGGGGCACGAACCGTTCTATGTTAATTATGGGCTGTGGTAAGTAAACGCTCAGTTTCTCACAGGGTTGAGAACATGAACCTTCGATTTTCTGTGGTCGGGGACGTCAACCTTTCAGCGATTCAGGGTGGGATCAAACATTTGCCGTTCATGTTTTGCGGCCGCAGCGTGGGTTAGCATGTCCCGAGCTCCGGGTTAATTGTTTCAGGGGGGTGGAAAGATAATCCGATCATGTATTGCGGCCGTAGCGCGAATTAGTATGCTTTACCTCCCAGTCAATGTTTTCAGGGAGAGGGGGAACATGACCCGTCCATGTTCCCAAGGTTTGGGATTTTGAAGCTTTCGTTTTTTCTGGTCTGAGAGAATGAACCGCTCAGAATCGCAGCGGGGTAAGAAAAATAACCGTTCATGTCTCCGGGTCGGGGAAATGAGCCGTTCGGTTGTTCTGGGGGTGAGAACATGAACCGTTCAGTTGTCGGGGTCGGGGACATGAACCGTTCAGTCTTCCATGGGGCAGGAAACGAAACGTTCATGCCTCGGGGATGGGGGGGGTGAACAATTCGCGATGGGTGCTGGGGAAACGAACTGGTTTTACCAGCCTGGAACATATCCCTGTACCGCTGTGTCGGGAGGTGGGGAGACGAACCAAGTTCAAATGAGCATGTCTTTCGGGTCCTCAGGGCAATTGGTCCCAAATCCGGTCAATGCATATGGTTGGCGTTGCAATGATAGCGTGCGATGTGGTGCCGCCTGTCCGCTTACTACACGCCATCCCGCGTGCACCGAAGAAGCCCTGGCAGTGGGACGGCGTGCGCAGAAGTTGCCCTCGCGGGGGGGATTGCCTCACAGGGATAACGCGCTTATCGAATATCGATGTTGGACACGCTGTCTTTGCGACGCCAACCGTAATTGTTCCGAGGTCTCTGGGGGGAGGGAGGGGGGGGAGAGGAGGACTAGGAGGGAGGAGGAGGAGCAGGAGGAGGAGGAGGAGGAGGAGGAGGGAGGAGGCGGTGCATACAGAAGTTTTTTCTTATCATTCCGGGTTGCAGGTCCAAGGCCTCGATTTGGGATGCCTTTTGGGCTCCCTTGGGAGGCCTCTTGGAAATTCGGCCTCGGGGTGTCTCGAGGAATCGTTCCGTTGCCCGGACTGCCTTCAGCGCGCGTGCGGATTGTTTCTGCCGTTCTGCGCCGCGAAAACAGAACGTGTCTGGACCTCTTGGGGGCCTCCTGGAGCTCGTGGGGGCCTTCTGGAGCTCGTGGGGGGTCCTCTTGGGGTCCTGCTGGCGGTTTCGGGGGCCATCTTGGCACGAGAGGTGCGAAATGTCGGTTCCCCCTGTGGGGCTTCTCTCAGGCTCCTCTTGGCGTTTTATTCGGCCGTCTTGAGGGCCTCTTGGGTTGTTTTTGGGCCATCTTTGGCCGTCTGGGGGCACTCTGGGGGGCCTCTTGAGCCGTGTTGGGGCGATCTTGGGGGTCTTTCGGGCCGTTTTGGAGCGTCGAAGGCCAGAAAAGACGGGAACACAAATCTTTGGAACACCTAAGGGATGCCATTGACCTCAGCATATCGGGGCCCTCTTGGGACCCTTTGGAGCCATCTTGGGGCGTCTTGTGGGCCTCTTGGGCCATCTTCGGCGTCTTGGAGCGTTGTCGGGCTGTCTCGGATCCTTCTTGGACCTTCTTGGGCATTTCTGGCGCCTTGTTGGCCCGTCGGTTGGGTCCTCTGGCCTTTGGAAAAGTCACGCGGGGACGCCCTAGAAACCGCGAGAGACTCCTGATGATTTTAGATCCTGGGCTCCCTACTCCTAAATGGAGTGTGCTTAGGTTGACGCGTAAGTGCAGAGAAATGTAGAAGCCTTGGGAACCTTCCTCTTCGTGCCTCGAGCCACGATGGCAGATGTGTATATGTCGGAGGTTTGGGGGTGAGATCGCAGCGGAACGGAGACCCCCAACCGGGAGATCGTTTCGTTTCGTTCGTGACGTGCGTGCGGGCAAGGCGAGGCGAAGCTGCGTGGGCGCGCGAGAGGAATGAACCCGCCGTTGTTAGGGCGAAGTCAAGACAAATGATTCTCCCCCGTCCGTCCGTCCGGCGCTGGCCCTAGCGGTGTCCCGCGGTGTGCCGTGGTGTCCCGTGGTGTCCGCCGTTGCTGGGGCGAAGTCAAGACAAAGGATTCTCCCCCGTCCGTCCGTCCAGAGGTGGCCCGCGGTGTCCCGTGGTGTCCCGTTGAGTAAGGTCGATAGTGAGATCGATAGTGCGATCGATGTTGAGATCGATGCTGAGATCGATGTGGTACCCCGACGTGTCCCGTGGTGTCCCAAAAAGTGAGATCGATAGTGACATCGCTAGTGAGATCGACAATTGTCCCGTGGTGTCCCGTGGTGTCCCGTTGAGTGAGATCGATAGTGAGATCGATGTTGAGATCGATGTGGTGCCCCGAGGTGTCCCGTGGTGTCCCGTGCAAAAAGTGAGATCCATAGTGAGATCGATATGTCAGACCGACAGGTGTCCCGTGGTGTCCCGTTGAGTGAGATCGATATTGAGATCGATAGTGAGATCGATGTGGTGTCCCGAGGTGTCCCGTGGTGTCCCGTGGTGTCCTATGGTGTCCCGTCGAGTGAGATGAGGTGAGATCGTTAGTGAGACCGATAGTGAGATTGAGAGGTGTCCCGCGGTGTGCCGTGGTGTCCTGTGTGTCCTGTGGTGACCCGTGCTTTCCCAATGAGTGAGTTCGATAGTGATTTCGATAGTGAGATCGACAAGTGTCCCGTGGTGTCCCGTGGTGTCCCGTTGAGTAAGATCGATAGTGGGAGCTCGATAGTGAGATTGATGTTGAGATCGATAGTCAGATCGATGTGTTGCCCGGAGGTGTCCTGTGGTGTCCCGTTGAGTGAGATCGATAGTGAGATTGCCAGGTGTCCCGTGGTGTCCCGTGTTGTCCCGTTGAGTGAGATCGATAGTGAGATCGATAGTGAGATCGATGTGACAGATAGTGAGATCGAGAGGTGTCCCGCAGTGTCCCGTGGTGTCCCATGGTGTCTCGTGTTTTTTTGTGGTGTCCCGTTGAGTGAGATCGATAGTGGGAGCTCGATAGTGAGATCGACAAGTGTCCCGTGGTGGCCCGTGGTGACCCGTGGTGTCCCGTTGAGTGAGATCGATAATGAGATCGATTGAGTCGGATGTTCCCCCCCCCCGTTCCCTCCCCCACAACATCCTCATCATCCGAAGAGTGGTCGTATAGGTATATTTGTATACACACATGTGTATACACATATACATACCTGTACAAAGATATATCTTCATACACATACATATCTGTGGACATATGTATGTGTACACATTTACATACACATGGTTTCAATGGTGACGGGCACACTGCAGACGAAGGTAAACACCAGTTCCTGTCAATTTTGAACAGGACCCGCCGTCTGTGTCGCCGCGGACGTCGTGCATTTGGGAAAGGCGTCGCCTGCCCAGCAGTGGCCGCCCTTGGCCTTGGACAGCACATGATTCTGGGCATCGCCCCCGTGTTTGCCATCCACGTCCTGGACGTGCCAACCCTTGGGAGGGCGAGGGGATCTGGTGTTTTTATTAGTAGATGTTGGGTCCTGTCAGGTCAGACAGACAGAAGGTCGGGAGGTCGGCGTTTTCCTCGATGCCTGGCCGCCTCGGGCGCTGGTTTTGTAGGCGCCGGGAGAGCCAGACACCTGAACTGATCCGCCGACCGCCCTCCTCCTGCCCCCCGGTTTCGTCTGGCCCGACCCCTGGGGCCTGTCCTGGGCGCTGGGGCCGTCAGAAGGCGATCCGACCAAATGAACCTCGGAAGGGGTCAGGGCAGAGTGTGAAGGCCTGACGGCCGGTGCCGCCGACCCTGAAAGACATCGACGACGACCAGGAGAGGAGGAGGAGGAGGAGGTGGAGGAGGAGGGAGGAGGAGGAGCAGGAGGAGCAAGAGGAGGAGATAAGGAGGAGCACATTTTTGTAACGAGGGTCAAGGTTAGGGGCTTGCGGTCGTTTTTGACATGTGTGGGGTGGAAGTTTTCCCGATTCGCGGCCCTAGTGAGGTTCCGCCCCCTGTGCCCAGGGCTCTTTCCAGATCCATTCGATGGTCCAGGGGCCCGATGGCAAGCAGCGCTGGCCACCATCACCACGTCGTGTTCGTCGTCGCCGTCGTCCTCCCCTTCCTCGTGTCCTCTGGCCACTTACAGCGCTGTCGAGCCCACGTCCCGCCAGTTGTGAGCCCATATTCGAGGTCACGGTTTGCTCATGAGTCATGACGAGGGCCCCAGAAGTCTTGACTTTCTCCCAAGGGCCGGCGTTTCATTCCGAGTCGTGTTTGACGATCCTGGAGCCAGGCAAAATCTCAGCCTCGATTGTGCACGACGTCGGATGTTTGGCAGGGTGAGAAGGGGGAGGATCAGCTCCACCGCTCGCCCGCAAGAGCAGCGGAGTCAGCCAGACGAGGAGCGGAGGAGGGGGTGGGGGGAGAAGCACGCTAGGTGCGCTCGCGCCATGACGTCCTACCCCTCACTCCCATCCTTTACCATTGACCATTGCGTAGAACCCCACTCCATTCGAACAGTCGGATGTTCTAGAGGACAGCGATCCCTAGAGGGTACGCGATGCAAAGCATGGCATACCATGGCGTAGGAGAGCACGGCAGAGCATAACGTGGCGTTAGCAAGCATGTTATGGCATTGTGCAACCCATCGATGCTATCACAGCATTGCAGAGCAGGGCAGGGAATCGCATAGTAGGGGTACATGAAATAGCATTTGGGTTGCACACCATGATTGCACGAACGGTGCAGCCGCAAAACCATGCTAGATGACCGACAATGTGGAGATGAGGCCAGTGTTGCAGCGGGAACCACATTTTGAAGGACCGAAGCGCAGAAATAAGACCAGCGCTGCAGCGGGGGCGCGATTTTGAAAGGCGGGAAGCGAGGAAATGAGGCCAGCGTTGTTGCGGGAATACCATTTTAAAGGGCTTGAGACGATCGCACTGGGACAACACTTAATAACTACAACTGATTGAAATGGGGGTGTGGGACAACTGGCATGATACGGAGAGGGCGGGACATCGTCTGGACATAGGCAGGGGAGAAAGGAGAATAGTATTCATCATCTGTTATTGTAGAGAGGAGGAGCGGAGCAGAAGGTTAGGAGGATGGGTGAGGTGGGAGGAGGAGGAGGAGGAGGAGGAGGAGGAGGAGGAGGAGAAGAAGGAGGATTTCACTATCAATGCTGCGGCGCTAAGTCCGCGCAACGCCCCCCCCCCCAAAAAAAAAAAAGGAGGGAGGAGGAGGAGGAGGAGGAGGGAGGAGGAGGAGGGAGGGGAGGAGGAGGGAGGAGGAGGAGGAGGGAGGAGGAGGAGGAGGGAGGAGGAGGAGGAGGAGGAGGAGGAGGAGGAGGAGGAGGAGGAGGAGGAGCAGGAGGGCGGAAGGTGGCGATGTCCGCCCTCGGCGCCCCTTGCCCCCCCACAGCGTCCCGCGCGCAGGGGGGGAGGCAGGGGCCGCGCGACGCGCGGCGCCCGCCCCAGGCGTTCGAGCACATGTTCGAGCAGAAGTTCAACCGGATCAAGGAGCCCGGCCTCGGCGAGCTCGGGGGGGGCGGCAACGGGAAATTCGGGGGCGGAAAAGAGGGGGGGGATGACCATCAGGAGCGAAAGAAGGACGTACATGTACATGAATCCACGCTGGTTTCGAGAGTTCGCACTGCGCGAATGTTCGTATCGCGCGGCAGGTCTCGCGGGTCAAGGGGCCGTGTTCATGTACATAGCTGGGTGCGTACGTCCTTTGTGTGCTCCCTAGACCAGGGGGGGGTGGATATCATGGCGGGGGCCATGATAGTTCCCCAGATTTCAGGGCGCCTCTTCTCATTCCGTTACGTCCCTGGCCCGCCCGCTGGGCCGCGCACATGCCGCCGGTCATGATTTGATGATTTGCACCCCCCCCTCTTGGACACCCCCTCTTGGCCGCTCCCGAGAAACCATCAGTGGACGCTCCCCTGCCCCCCCCCCAAACCTTAGTGGACCCTGGAAACGACAGGGCCGTTTTTTTTACCAGTTCCGTTCTGCCGTTTTTTTTGCCGGTGCCGACGCCGTTTTTTTAACGGTTCCGTCGCCGTTTTTTGACCGGTTCCGGCTCCGGTTCCAATCCTGGAGCCCTTTTTTTTTCCGTTTCCGGTCGCCGTTTTTTGCCGTTTCCATTTTCAAGGGACATTTTTTAGGAAACGGCCTTGCCGTTTCCGGGGCCCACAAAGCCCCAAACTCAAGGTTGGCACGCGCGGGGAAAGCTGCGGTCGAAGTGCAGCTCCCTCAGCTCACCGCCAACACTTTATCATTGGGGGAGGGCATTGGCAGATGAATGCGGCATGAGTGCTCGCTAAGTTCTTCCCAGGCCTGGATGTCGGGGGTTGGCCGAGACCCAAAGCCTTGGGCCCGACGTGTCGGTATTCGGCGACGACGGGGCTCGGGCCTCGGAGGTCTTCGGGGCCCAGGGCGGATTCCAGCAGCTGCGCCTCGTCGAGGGCCTGCGGGGGGACGCCAGAATCGTCCCGAATGGCTGCCAGACCTCCGCGCGTTGCGAACAAGATGACGACATGAGGTGTTCTGCAGTTTGGGCCTCTGGGGGGTGTCAGCCATGCCCCAGGACCATCAAACTACGCTTCAGGAGGAGTGGTGGAGGCCATACGAAGCCAGCGAGCCCTGGGTGATAAGAGAGGGCCAGTCGAGGCATCGCGGGGCCTCATCCGCCGTCGCTGAGGGCCAACGATGCCTCTTGCTTGCGCCATCCTCCCTCCTACTCTTCCCCTCCCTCTCCGTTGCTCGCTCTGGAGGGGCACCGCTGCCTCGTGCGGCCCTCGTCTGAACGTGCCGTGGCCCGAGTTGACAGCACCGGCAGTGCACCAGGGCGTAGACGACGACCTCGGGACACCCCGCCCAGCGCGGCGAGCGGAGGAGGAGGAGTAGGAGTAGGAGGAGGAGGAGGAGGAGGAGGAGGAGGAGGAGGAGGAGGAGTTCTCGGGCACAGTCCAGAAGCTGCAAAAAGGAGCAGAAGCTAATTTTTGTTTCCAGGGAGGGACTCCCCAAGGGTGGCGGTTTGATGTCGGCGGGACCATTGCTAGCGTGCCGGTACTCTCGCACAGATCGGTATCTTGCGACGCGAGTGGCTGCCCGTCGGAGGAGGAGGAGGGGGAGGAGGGGGAGGGCGAGGGGGAGGAGGAGGGGGAGGAGAGGAGGGATGGAGGAGGAGGAGGAGGAGGAGGAGAGGAGGAGGAGGAGGAGGAGGAGGAGAGGAGGAGGGATGAGGAGGGTAGGAGGAGGAGGAGGAGGAGAGGACGGAGGAGGAGGAGAGGAGGAGGAGGAGGAGGACGAGGAAGAGGAGGAGGAGGAGGAGGAGGAGGAGGAGGAGGCCCCTCGGTCTCGGTATCGACGCCGCCAACTCGATGCAGACCCCTGGCCGCCCCCAAGAGCAGTTCGTGCTAGAGCCCTTCCGTGGTCGCCCCCTTCCGAGGCACCCAGGCGCTCCCGGGGCCCGTCGGGCCTCCGTCCGCACCCAGCGCGCTGCTTCGGGGAATCGGTCGGGTTGACCCAAAAGGTGGTCCAGCGACAAGGGGGTGACGCAGGTCCAGCGACAAGGGGGTGATGCAATAGATCTGGTGCAATAGACTCGGGGGGCCGCAAGAGATTCGGGGTGCGCAATACGCTCCAGTGCGCACATGTATCATTGGATATCCGCGTGGAAAACACTAGTTGCAATACAATGCAATACAACTCTCTGGCGCAATACATTTGCAATACAAGTGTCCCAAATCTATTGCA